CCTCCTTTGGCAGCAATAACTTCAACCAAACGTTTCCTGTAGTTGCAGATCAGACGTGCACAACGGTCAGGAGTAATTCTTGACCATTCCTCTTTACAGAACTGTTTCAGTTCAGCAATATTCTTGGGATGTCTGGTGTGAATCACTTTCTTGAGGTCATGCCACAGCATCTCAATCAGGTAGAGGTCAGGACTCTGACTGGGGGCCACTTCAGAAGGCGTATTTTCTTCTGTTTAAACTATTCTGTTGTTAATTTACTTCTATGCTTTTGGTCATTGTCCTGTTGCAACACCCATCTTCAGTTTTGCTTCAGCTGGTAGACAGATGGCCTTAAGTTCTCCTGCAAAATGTCTTGATAAACTTGGGAATTCATTTTTCCTTCGATGATAGCAATCTGTCCAGGCCATGACGCAGCAAACCAGCCCCAAACCATGATGCCCTCACCACCATACTTTACAGTTGGGATGAGGTTTTGATGTTGGTGTGCTGTGCCTTTTTTTCACCAAACAACTCAACTTTGGTTTCATCTGTCCACAGAATATTTTGCCAGTACTGCTGTGGAACATCCAGGTGCTCTTGTGCAAACTGTAAACGTGCAGCAATGTTTTGTCTGGCCAGCAGTGGCTTCCTCTGTGGTATCCTCCCATGAAATCCATTCTTGTTTAGTGTTTTACGTATTGTAGATTCGATAACATAGATGTTAGCATTTGCCAGTGACTTTTGTAAGTCTTTAGCTGACACTCTAGGATTCTTCTTCACCTCATTGAGCAGTCTGCACTGTGCTCTTGCAGTCATCTTTACAGGACGGCCACTCCTAGGGAGAGTAGCAGCAGTGCTGAACTTTCTCCATTTATAGACAATTTGTCTTACCATGGACTGATGAACAGCAAGGCTTTTGGAGATACTTTTATAACCCTTTCCAGCTTTATGCAAGTCAACAATTCTTAATTGTAGGTCTTCTGAGAGCTCTTTTGTGCAAGGCATCATTCACATCAGGCAATGCTTCTTGTGAAAAGCAAACCCAGAACTGGTGTGTGTTTTTTATAGGGCAGAGCAGCTGTAACCAACACCTCCAATCTCATCTCATTGATTGGACTCCAGTTGGCTGACATCTCACTCCAATTAGCTCTTGGAGATGTCATTAGTCTAGGGGTTCACATATTTTTTCCACCTGCACTGTGAATGTTTACATGGTGTGTTCATTAAAAACATTGCAACATTTCATTCTTTGTGTGTTATTAGTTTAAGCAGACTGTGATTGTCTATTGTTGTGACTTAGATGTTGATCAGATCACATTTTATGACCAATTTGTACAGAAATCCATATCATTCCAAAGGGTTCACATACTTTTTCTTGCAGCTGTACATGATGATGATGATGATGATAATAATAATACTAATAATAATACTAATAATGTTATATATGTATGACTCTCACTTATGCTGGTATATTTATTTAAAACTTTAAGGACATCACCGGGGTGTCTAATAATCCATATGGAGAAGGATCGCTAAATTCCTATACTCATATTGCCCCAATAATAATACTTTTTATGAATCACATTCACTTTTTTTTAATCAGAGAGGGCTTAGGGTCATCACTACTATAAGGCAACACAGGCAGCTATTTTAGGACACCCCACCAGGGGGTGCAAATAGGAAATCTTAAAGGGGTAAATTACATCGAACACACTACAAATTCTGTTTTTATCTAAGCAGTGACAGTGAGTTACCAGCTGCCTCTACTGAAAGCTAGTTGCTAGGTGGTAACTAAGCACTCCCATTATTCTCTATGGTAGATGTTACCCTCCACTTAATGACTGCTATAACACTGGACTCCTTTAAAACCTATTGTTACTCATTACCAGCTGCAACTAACCCAAAAAAACAAAATAGCCTATTACCTAGTGCCAAGCAGTTAATAAATGTACCTCTTCCTCGCGCACTATTTAATAACACTGGGGCCGCAATATTTCGTCATATTCCGGCCCCAGTCTCATCAAGCTGCGCGCTGGGGAGCAAAGCAGAAATAGCACAGCTCCCTACTCCCGTAGCCAGCCGCCCGCCCTGCATGACCAGCATGCAGCCTGCCTGCACAAAGGACCCAACAGGTAGCAATAATGTGTGAGTCAGTCTGTCAGTGTGAGTGTATGGGTCTGTCATGGTGTGTGTCTGTCTTGGTGTGTGTATGTGTGTCTGTGTGTGTGCCTGTCATGGTGCATGTGTCTGTCTGTCATGGTGTTTGTGTGTGTCTGTCATGGTGTATGTATCTGTCTGTGTCATGGTGTGTGTCAGTCATGGTGTGTGTGTGTGTGTGTGTGTGTGTGTCAGTCATGGTGTGTTTGTGTGTGTGTGTCAGTCATGGTGTGTGTGTTTGTCATGGTGGGTGTGGGTGTCTGTCATGGTGGGTGGGTGTGTCTATCATGGTGGGTGTGTGTGTCTGTCATGGTGGGTGTGTCTGTCATGGTGGGTGGGTGTGTGTCTGTCATGGTGGATTGGTGTGTGTCTGTCATGGTGGGTGGGTGTGTGTCTGTCATGGGGTGGGTGTGTGTCTGTGATTGTGTGTCTGTCATGGTGTGTGTGTATGTGTCTGTCATGGGGTGTGTGTGTCTGTCTGTCATGGGGTATGTGTGTCTGTCATGATGTGTGTGTGTGTGTGTGTGTGTCTGTCATAGTGTGTGTGTCTGTCATGGTGTGTGTGTGTGTGTGTCGTGTGTGTGTGTCTGTCATGGTATATGTGTGTGTCATGGTGTGTGGGGGCGCTGAATGTAGGTACTGCACACTGTGCAGCACTGACACAGGAAGCACCTCTAGTGACCGTCTGAGTGACTGTCACTAGAGATGTCACTAGAAAGCAATGTAAACACTGCCTTTTTTCTGAACCACTACATTAAGGTGTGTGTGTGTGCCTGCTAGTGAGTGAGCATGTGTGTGTGCCTGCTAGTGAGTGAGCTTGTGTGTCATTGGTTATAGCTCTACTAATCGGTGCATACCGCTCATGAATTCTGTCAGATTGATTTTGGAACAGTTTGAAAAAACCTGAGGTTCTCCACTGCATATATAGCCAGATCCTTCTAAAGCAAGGTTTTAGAAGCATATTATCATATCTGTTCCATTGTAGGTGTGGCATTGTGCCAATGACTCGTTCGCAGGAAAAAGTAACGGGTGGCCACAGAAAATCTAGACCATGTTTATTACAAACTTGTCTGTAGTGATCTTGTGTGTGTCAGTTAGCTTGTCTGTAGGAAGCATGTGTGTATCAGTGAGCTTTTCTGTAGTGAGCGTGTGTGTGTGTGTGACAGTGAGCTTGTCTGTAGAAAGCTTGTGAGTGTCAGAGTTTATTTGTACTACGTTTGTGTGTATATCAATAAGCTTGTGTGTGTGTCAGTGAGATTGTCTGTCAGTGAGCCTATGTGTGTGCATCTATGAGCTTGTGTTTTTATGTCAATGAGCTTATGAATATCATTGAGATTGTTTGTCTATGAGGCTCTGTATCAACGAGCTTGTGTGTGTCAGTGAGATTGTCTGTGTCATAGGTGCCATAGGTTTTTAACCCCTGCACTAGGTGATTAGCCATATATAGAATAGTTTGTTACTAAAGTAAATTATGTAAATACTTTTGTTTATCTTTTGTACCTTTTCATGGAATTATCTAATGTCAGACTTCCAATAGATTTTTTTGGTTCTGTGAATACAGATGTCAGGTTTCAAAACTGACATGTAAGACGTTTTTTGTTTATTACTGGCCCTTTAAGTGAACTTCATGATTTTCTCCTCTAGTGGCCTCCCTAGCCACTAATCTATTCACTCACCTTAATAACCTCACCTGGATTAACTAATTAGGAGGCTTGATAAGTCTACTCCCGGCACACAACAGTGCCTTGACATTGAAGTCTATGCTCTGATAAAGAATCTCTGTTCCTGGTAATATCCTGTATTTTATCTACATGATTTCATTCTGTAGAGAACTTACCTGCAGTGCCTTATCCTGTACTCATCTGCATTTCCTCATACTGAAAGGCACTAACCTGCATTACTTCATCCTGAACTTGCCTGAAAGACTTTCCTTATCAGCTTCCAAGAATCCTGATTTGTGGTGTATTGCCTTCATTGAAGAATCTTAACTGCTTCAGTTGCTGCATCACTGCATGATCTCGTAAGCAACCTGCATTATATTATTTTGGAATATACCTACCTGTTTCAACCTCTGCAACTCTGCATGATCCTGTATTGTCTTATCCTAAAAGGTATTTACCTATAACTAGCTGCATTGCAAAGTATCCTGGAAATCCCTAACTACTTGGTATAACTTCAAGCCTGCTTGTATACAAAAGACTTTATTCATTTACTTTCTAAAGATCTTGTTTGTGGTATATCACCTAAACCCTGTTTTTTCTCACAAAGTATCCTGTTTGTGGCAGACTGCCCTTTATTCTTTATTTTCAGTAAATTTGTTATGTCTAATACGACAAATAAAGTTTTAACCAATAACCCTTGCAATCATTTCCTCTCTGACCTGCTCAGAAGCATGACAACAGAGATATAATTTGATGATCATATAATTTATAACCTAAATTATTTTATGATTGACTAGACTGATTGATCATCACATTCCATGCTTGATCTTCAGAATACTAACAAAGGAGGGAATTTTCTGTCTACTAAGGGACATTTAGTAAATTAATCTTTTAATACTGAATTATCTACTGTGTAAGGGCCTTGCAATAAAATATGATTATTTTTGTAAAAATGTATTTTTATTATCATAATTTATAACCTAAATTATTTAACGTATTTTATGATTGACTGGACTTCATCCAGTGCTATAGAACCTTGCTGGTTTTTGTTTTGTTGTTTGAAGGAGATTTAAATATGATATTCCCTATATAACAACATAATGTGTACTTGTAACTGTTACCTATATTGCACGTTTTAGATTTTTAGATATAGTTTTGCCAAGAGTATTTGTTTTTGAAGAAATATTTCCAGAACAAAATGACTTATTTGCTTCAGTTGTTTTATTATCTCATGAACAGGATAAAATCTTTTAGTAATGAAGTTAGCAGGCATCAAGAACTCTTCGGAAGGAGCTCACTCTTGCATTGAGGGAACCCCAATCACTGAAGCGTCTGTATTCCCCGGGCTTCAGGAAGTATTGCCTTCCCCTGAAGTTTGGCTGCTCATAGAAGATCCAGTGGCCCTCAAGAACATTGCAGGAGTTGATGTCATGGTATTTGAAGAGCTCAAACACAGAGGGGCAATCTTCAGAAACCTCCAGCATCTGTCCCCTAAATTCTTCCTTCTCGTAGATCTTCAGTTTGTGTGGTCCTCTTTGCTGCAATAGAGTTGTGATATAGTGTACAGATTTGACAAGATATTAATATCGAATGTTCATTTTTCTATTAGCTATCCATTTATCTTCCAATTATATAATTGTGAACCAGTTTCAAGATTCTAAATTTAAAATTGTTTTAAAAGTAATATTAACATTAGAAGGAAGACCCTAAATTGTAACATTTTATTGACTACTTTTTACCTAAATGTTTTCTATAAGTATAACAATAAAGGTGGTAGAAATTATATGAAAAAAGTGAAGTGGCTTTAGTGTCTGGAGTTCATTGTTCAGTGTTATACCATTTTTAAGGCTTTCATGTTAAACAAGAGTCCCCAGCAGCCCATCTCTTCTCCATGGATTATTGGGGAAGTAGGTAGAGAAAGGGGCCAGAGATTGACTAAGAATGTCAACTGACTAATGAAGTGTGCAATTACTGCCTTAAACATACCTAAACACTGAACTTTTCCATTGGGGGCCAGGCCGGGGGTGGCCAAGGACCCTCACTTAGTGTTCATAAAATGTTTAATACTGAATTGAGGGACAGCGCCAGGAGACTCCTGGCATTATAATCAATTCAATAAGATGTAACAATTATAGTACATAGTGTGTCCCTTAACTTACTTTCTAAAGCCAACTGAATAATATATTTTAAATAAAATAATAAATTACAATTCTTTTATGGATATAGATATTACCCATTAGCATTTTGTTATGTATAGTTGGTATTAGAGCTTTGTTATATTTATCAGCATATTACAGTTTAGATGTTCAAATGTCTGTCTTATTGATTACGTTTTGAAACCCATATTTTAGGTCATGCTAATATTGTTATATCTAAAATGAATTTTCTTGTTTGTAGTAATAATACATTGAATGAAAGGCTCAAGTCCATCAAGATTACATTTTCAAAGAATAGTTTTTCTGCTGTTGATCAAAAAAAGGCAAATAACCTTATCTGAGTGATTTATAACTGTGCATTATAAAGGATAAAAAAAGCCCTTATTGGCACTGAAGTGGCAATCAGATTATGCATGGGACGAACAAGCTGTTAATGCTTTTTAAGTATTATAGTCCTCAACATTCTGCATTTGCCAGGAAAGCATCCAGACCATTTAAAGCTATCTATTGATTCTATTTTAGAAAAAAAAAAAAACTCAAAAGAGAATTTCACATCTTTATAGTTCTTCTTGTAAAGTATTTCATCACATCTCTAACTGACCTGTGGAAGAGAGCGGCAAGACCTGATGGAGTCGCTGAATCCGAGCCATTGCTGGTAGTCGGGATATTCTCCCTTCTTTAAGAAATACTGATGACCCAGGTAATTGGGACGCTCATACAGCATCCAGCAGCCACTATCGACACGGATGGAGTTGCAGCGACTGAAATAGGAATGAAGGTCGGCGCAGTCGCCACTGCACTCATAGCAGCGGCCTTGGAAGTTTCTGTCTTCGTAGAAGATTATCTAGGGTACATGAATTGCTTGGTCAGACAACAAATCATAATGCTAGAAATATTATCACTAGAACACATCACTATATGAGAGATTTAATTTCTTATCTCTATATTTTGACCTGCTAAGGTCTGATAATCTATTGTATTCTTTTTGCAACTGCACAGCCTGTAAACAACTGTACAACAAACATAACAAATATTTTAAACGCCTATAGTATTAATAAAGTACTGTTGAAACACAATACTTGAGTCAAAGCCATGCTGGATGTCAATATTAAATTAATTAGATTAAAGTATTTATTACCTTTTAAATTGCTTATTGACATCAAATATTTAGTAAGAGTAATATTGTTATTCTTTTCGATTACCTTCCCCATTTTAGCAGGACTGTGGATGGAAATTCCCAGTAGCTAGCAAGCTGAACAGCGGCTCTTAAATACATCACATTCCGTGCTTGATCTGCAGAATACTAACAAAGGAGGGAATTTTCTGTCTACTAAGGGACATTTAGTAAATGAATCTTTTAATACTGAATTATCTACTGTGTAAGGGCCTTGCAATAAAATATGATTATTTTTGTAAAAACTAATTTTTATTATGTCATATCTACTCAATAAATATAACTCACAGCACATACACGAACAAAGAACATATAATTAGCATTTCTTAACTAACTTTGGAGTACTTCAATAAATAAACACACAGAGATTAAATTTTTTAAATATTTTAAAGTTTAACATCTGCTCATTGTAAAAAGTCCAAAGTAGCTGTTTTATTTGCCCTTTTCACAGCAGCCCTAAATAGTATGCTTTCCTTATGAAAAGCCAGAATGCTTTACTAATTATCTCACATCCACTGATGAATAGTGTGGAAACAATATATATAGATAAAGCTCTAGGTAAGGGCGTTTATTCAATAAAGAACTGTGGTGCGTTGACAAGAGAATTATACATTTTATGCCAACATAGGAAAGAAGAAAGACTAGCTGAGTTTAAAAAACTCACAACTTTATTTTGGCTTAAAATGTAATATTCCTTTGCCAGTTCAACACAAATCCTGGAACAAATTACAGATCGCCAAGTTTAGGGTTTTTCCAGCTGATCAGTAATTGATCTTTTAATTATGGATTAATAGTGTACCTCTTCCTCATTTCAAGATCATGAATTATGATTATGGGTCATTTCATTCAGATTCAGATTCCACAGTTATACATTTCTAATTTACATATACAGTGGTACCTCGGTTTATGAATTTAATGCGTTCTCCGGGACTTTTCTGATTGCGAAAAATTCATAAACCTAAACATGGTTTCCTATAGGAATGCACTGAAAACCAATTAATCTGTTCCAGAGGTCAGAAAAAAGTCAAAATGAGCTGGCATGGAAACCAACCCACAATGCAGAACACACAGTAAAAGGCATGCAAATGACAAAGCTCAGCTCCCTACCTTTCCACAGCTTGAGAAATGCACCAAAAAAGTTCCAAAAAGTGACAAAACTACTGCAAAAAAATTCCAGAATGGCTCCAAAACTCGATGCAAAAACCGCTCCAACAACTCCACACTCAACTCTTCATGCTACCCACAGACACAGCATGCACGGGGGCAGCGCTATAAAATTCTCAGGCGCAATGCATCCTGGGGAAACTTGCTTCGTATTGAGAAAAAAATTGTAAACTGAGGCATTATTTTCAATGGATTTTCATTTGTAAACAGAAAATTATGTTAACCGAGGTACCACTGTATATCAGAATGAGATATTCTTCATTTTTGATTGGCTTAATTTCAGCTTGCTTAACCCATTCCTTGATGGAAAAAAAAAGAGATGGCGGCTATAGATTGCTTTAGATCTCCAGTTAGCCAAGTCGGTTAGCCAAGTGTGTAGAAAATGCACCTATCTAGTCTTTTTAAACATGTTGTGTCAGAACATGGTTTATGTTGATAAAGTGTCTATGTAGGGGATGCAAAACGCGTTTCAGATCTCTTTAGGTTCCTGTCCTTCCCCAACCCCTGCTTCCATCCGATGCAAAGATAACTTTCTTTTGTGTATATTTATATTTGTTTTTTTTATTTGTGGGATTATGTCATGTCTACACTGTCTCCAATAAATTGTAATGTTTCGCCTTGTCTTTTATATAAGTTCCCAGAATGCAGTGCATATATTTTGACACTTATTGCTTGAAAGGTTTTGGGAATTGAATCACCAGTACTGGGTATGTGAAGAGTTTGGATGCCCTCAAAGAGTAAGTGGAGCATTTATTTTTACAACATTAAAGTATGATTGTTACACCTTCCTTGCATCCCATTGTACAGCACTATAGAATTTTGCTGGCGCTATATAAATAATAATAATAAGGACTAGGGCAGAGACTTAAAACTTTCAGTTGCATCTTTATCAGTGCCTACATACAGACTAAAAGCATATTACATTAATGCAAACACATATTCCCACAACTGGTGAAAAAAATGTGGGTAGCAAATATCTTCTACACTAGCCAGTATTTAATGCTCCATTACATTCTCCACAGTGTCCCATCTCTACAGATATGAATTGTTATCTCTGCTTATACATGATTAATCACAATAAGTGGGTAAAATATTATCATAAAAAGGCAATTACGAATAATAATAATAATAATTGCTGTTTTTATTTCATAAGGCTATCATTGGTTTTCAAGCATGCTAAATGCGTAATTATTGTACTCTATTACTAGGAGAGATTGTCCCTTTAAACTACAGTAGGCCAGAATTGGCTCTGGAAAACATTCTGCAACACTAGCGAATGATCTGGTAGTATAATCTCTTCTGATAAAGCGTGCCCATTATCATTATACTGCATAAAGTAACAATAGACTGAACTAGAGCACTAATTAGGCTGGCATTGCTATTTTCAACTGAATGAAAGTGTTGATTGCACACAAAGATTATGCCCATGAAACAATTCATACTAAAGGTAAGTTCTAGATAAGTGACGTCCATGTGCTGCCCATCAATTAGAACATTTTCAGGTTGGTCATTTCATTATGGTTTAAAAATAAAATGTCAGCTTGGAATGTTAAAGAAATATTGAATCAAAATCACAGACAATTCATATCTACTCTCTCTTAAAATACTATGCAAAAATGTTATGGCATCATTGTACAGATTTTTTTACTTATATATTGTGCAAGTCAAATTCATAACAAATCTATAAGTAAGTGGTATGGCCAAATTTGTGTTACAGTTATATTGTAGGAATAACTGTAAAATCTAGATATTTGGCTTCTAAAACATATATTTTTCATCTCATAATGCTAAGCGTCTCATCCCACAAAAACTGATGTATTGAGATGAAAAGTGCCAAACGAACACATGGATATGATATATCAAATGACTCACCCAAAAGTGCCTAGTCTAAGAGCTCATCAAGGTCACATCTCATCCAGTAACCCCAAGTCCCCTTCTAACCTTTTTTCTTCAGTAGTTTTGGTTCTTTATGTTAACTCGTTTAGGGTGTAACGTTCCATGCAAGATCTTTTAAAATATCCATGAGAAATAATAGTCTGACTCAGAGTAATAAAAAGCAGCTCAAATGTAATAAATTTCCTGGCATTAAAAAAAAAAACAATTACTGTACTTATTTATAACATTAGAAAAATGACATCTTTACAAAAACTTCTAAAATTTATGGAAAGCAAAAGTTAAAAACAGATATATTTTTTTTTTTTAAACATTCTTTATTTATTGTTTTCCGGTGTGGAAAAAGAAAACATTAGGGTACAGAAATGAAAGAGGGAGGGGGTGATACAGCCACAATGATACAGGAGCACAATATTTTACTTGTCTTTGCGCCTTAGGGTGTTGCGAACAAGTAGTTGTGTCTTGGTGCGGTCCGTTGGTTAGGCGTTTATCATGCAATAGTGCGGGGTTCAGGGATTTCTGTTTTGGATTTATTCCCTTTGCCCAATTCGTTTGGACCAGTCTGTATTGGTGGCCGTATGAGATTTGCGGCTCGTCTCGTTAACAGATTTGTGGTAGGGTGGGATGCCCCCTATTGACTATTTTTATCGTCCTCGTTGCGTACTAATGGGCGCCCCTGCGTCTGGGTAGTCAGTTGGGGGGGGGTGGAGAACCTATGTACAAGGGTGAGAGTACCATGGTGGGACACTATTTCGGGAGCCCAGTAGACATCCAATGGTTCGGGTTGGGGTAATATTTGTACTGTGAGTTTCCGTGCGTTGGTATTTTGATCGCTATGTTGGAGTAGCGGGCCTGGTGGGTGAGGTGGAGGCTGTCCGTGTGCCCTTATTGTAGGTGGGGATCGGATAACCAGGGGTCCCAGATTCTGTGGAAGTGTTTAGAGGTCTCATGAATTATGGCTGATAGCCTATCCATGTGTATTGCTTCCTTGGTTTTGCGTATGATCGTTTGCAGTGTGGGGGTGTTTGGCGAACCCCATACTTCGGCTATTGCCCGTCTAGTCGCTAAGGCTATCCGGTTTGTCATTTTGTTTTGGGCTCTGGTCAGGTCCTCTCGTGGTCTGGAGAGGAGCCAGGTCCAGGGGTCTAATGGTATGGTGGTCTGGAGGAGTGTTGAGACTAGGGTAGCTACTTCCGCCCACAATGGGACCAGTTTAGGGCAATGCCACCATGTGTGTATGTATGTGCCTCTCTGCCCGCAGTTTTTCCAGCATAGGTCCGCGTCTGCTTTGCCCATATGGTACAAACGTACCGGGGTTAGGTACCATCGGAGCAGTGTTTTATACGCTTGCTCCTTATGGTTAACGCATATGGATATTGAGGCCGTTGCCTCCCAGATATCTTGCCAGTCCGTGGGGTCGTCCGGTGGCCCTAAGTCCCTCTCCCAAGCCGCCACATATGCCGAGGCCCCCTTGGGTTGGTTGGTGATAAGAAGTGTGTAGTTTTCCGTGATTTGACCTTTGTGGAGTGGGTTATGTAGGCATGACCTCTCAAACCGTGTGAGCGTGGTGGTGGCTGCTTTGGCATTGTCGGGTTGCTCTAAGAAGCTTCGTAGTTGTATGTAGCGAAAGAAATCGTGAGTGGTATATGTTGCCTGCGTGTTGGGAAGGTCGTTGTATGGGGTAATTTGCGTTCCCGTGTAGAAGTGGTGCAGTCTAGACAGGTCGTTTTGCTCGTAGTGTGCAAAGTCTTTGGGTGTTAACCCTGGGGGGAATGCTCTATTGCGTAGTATTGGCGTCAATGGTGTCGGGTTGTTTATGATGGGGATTTTCCGGGACGTTTTATCCCACAAGTCTATTGAGTTCGTGATTGCTGGGGGCAGTGGTGGTGGTAGGGGGCGTGATTTCTTTGGTACCCATATGTAGAGGGATGGGTGGTCGCGTCCAAATAGGTCATGTTCCAGGTCCGCCCATCGTTTGATCCCCTGCGGGGTGTGCCAGTGTTGGATCTGTGTGAGCTGTGCGGCGTAA